CCCCCCCCCTTCCTTCCTTCCTTCCTTCCTTCCTTCCTTCCTTCCTTCCTTCCTTCCTTCCTTCCTTCCTTCCTTCTAGCACTGATGATGTTCCCTAGTTGGGTCATGAAATGTCTGCAAGAAACCCACCCAGCTCAGACTGCACCAAAGACCCTCCCCCACTTCAACCCTGAGCTACAATTTTATCTCTCTATAGGTCAAGGGTAGGAGGCTTTTATGATGATATACAGAGGAAAAAACCCTCCAAGACACATCTAAATAAATGAATAGATCTATTTATAAACTGATAAATAGAATAGAATAGAAGAGAGGAGAGAAGAGAAGAGAAGAGAAGAGGGAATGGAATAGAATAACAGAGTTGGAAGAGACCTTGGAGGTCTTCTAGTCCAACCCCCTGCCTTGGTTGGAAAACCCTACATCACATAACCCTCTGTAAATGTCCTCGCAACATAGGGGAAAAGTGTCTTATGACCGGTCCTCACATTTACAACCTTGGCAGCATTTCCCATGGTCATGTGATCCCAATTTGGGGACTTGGTTAAACCGCCATAGATTTAGGACACTTAGCACTTATATACCGCTTTACAATGTTTTCCAGCCCTCTCTAAGAGTCAGCCTCTTGTCCCTCAACAATCTGAGTCCCCACTTTACCCACCTCAGAAGGATGGAAGGCTGAGTCAACCTTGAGCCTGGTGAGATTTGAACTCTTGGCAGTCGGCAGAGTTAGCCTGCAGTACTGCATTCTAACCACTGCATACCAAGGGTGATAGGGAAGGGAAGGGAAAGGAAAGGAAAGGAAAGGAAAGGAAAAGAAAAGAAGGGAAGGAAGGGAAGAGAAAAGAAAAGAAAGGAAGGGAAGGGAAGGGAAGGGAAAGGAAAGGAGGAAGGAAGGAAGGAAGGAAGGAAGGAAGGAAGGAAGGAAGGAAAATAAAAAGCAATAGCACAGTGCTTTAAAGGCCCCTTCTAAGCGGTTTACAGAATCAGCCTCTTGCCCCACAACAATCCGGGTCCCCATTTTACCCACCTCGGAAGGATGGAAGGCTGAGTCAACCTTGAGCCTGGTGAGATTTGAACTGTTGGCAGTCGGCAGAGTTAGCCTGCAATACTGCATTCTAACCACTGCATACCAAGGAAGGAAAGGAAAGGAAAGGAAAGGAAAGGAAAAGAAAGGAAGGGGAAAGAAAGGAAAGGAAGGGAAAGGAAGGGAAAAGAAAGGAAGGGGAAAGAAGGAAGGAAGGAAGGAAGGAAGGAAGGAAGGAAGGAAGGAAAATAAATAGCAATAGGCTATTAAAGGCCCTCTCTAAGCGGTTTACAGAGTCAGCATATTGCCCCCAACAACAATCTGGGTCCTCATTTTACCCACCTCGGGAGGATGGAAGGCTGAGTCANACCCACCTCGGAAGGATGGAAGGCTGAGTCAACCTTTGAGCCGGTGAGATTTGAACAGCCGAACTGCAAATAACAGTCAGCTGAAGTGGCCTGCAGTACTGCACCCTAACCACTGCGCCACCTCAACTACCTATATGAAGCGACTTTTTGACCCCCCCATATCTTTGTGACCAGAGATGATGAACCAGGCCAAAAATGTGAAGTGAGGCTGGAAAAAAATGCACGCTCCATTAATCCCAATGTGAAATCTGCGAGAGGGGAGGAAGCATGAAATCCTAACCTTGGAGGTCATCTAGACCAACCCCCCCTGCCCAAAACAGGAATCTTTATATACCGTTCCAGACAGTTGTCAAATCTTTTTCTTGAAAAAAAGGGGGAAAAGGGGGGGGGGAGGCTCAGCATACCCCCTTCTTTTGGGGGAGGGGGAGGGGCTTAAGCTGAACCAGCCCCCCCCAGCCCCCCCCCAAGGGAGGTCCTCTGAAGCCCCTGAGCAATTGCAGAGCCAAGATGTAGGAAAAAGAGACCCAAATGGAAGGTTTTCCTTTCCAACCACCTCTGGAATTCCGTGCCTCAGTTCTCCCTCTGTAAAATGGGCCTATTGCCAAGCATGAGGCCTGCGGGGGAGAATCTGTCCTTCACCATATCCTGAGTGGCCTTGAAATGAAAGGGGGGGGGAATTCAGACACTTGGCCACTGATTCATACTTATGACAGTTGTGGTGTGTTTGTGTGGGGTGTCACATGACCCCCCCCCTTTTTTTGCGACCACCTGACAAGCAGTCAATGGGGAAGCCAGATTCCTTTTAATGACCACGGGATTTAACAAATGTTGTGATTCACTTAAGAACAGTGGCAAGAAAAGTGGGACAAACCCCATTTAACAAATGTTTCGCTTAGCGACATACATTTTGGGGGCTCTCTGTTGGTCATAAGCCAGAGGGCTGGCTGTACATGGAAACTTTCCAAAAAGCATTTTAATTTTCTGTAGTTTTACGTCCACCAAATTCTTTCAGCTGCATTTTTTTCTCCAGGTTAGGAAAATGGCTCTTAAGATAAAATATTTGCAATCTTCATTTCCAGCTTCCACTTTAATCCTCTCTCTCCCCCCACCCACCCACCCCATTATTTTTCATTGGCTGGGCTAGAAAGGAAATCTGGGTGGGAATTAATGGGAAGAGAACAATAGATATTTTGAGCCTCTTAACAATATGTTTTGCATTAGGCTGAGATCCTCACAAGTCACTTTTGCAAATTCTTTGCAATTCCTGTCCTTTTAACTGGTCTCTGAATCTATTTACAGATGATATTTCAATTGCAAGCCCTTAGCAGCCCAGCTTTTGTCAAAATAACACACCATTTCCCTTTGTCTAAAAATAATTTTGCTTAACTGTGCGTGCAAACTGATGCTTCCACCCGGTTTTTTAAAATTTAAATAAATTAAGTTTATTGTGCCTTTTTTATTTTCTCTTTTCAGCCTAGATATTCATTCTTCTTTGTTTTGGTCCAGTTTTTAAGAGAAAAAAGTCCTTCAGGCTTTCCAATTCAACTTGATTTTGGGATGTTCTACAAACGCACCATTGGTATTGTAGTGTTACTGATATCGTAGTATTATTGCAGAGTTCCTACAATTAACCTTTCTATTAGGAATTTATTTTTGCATTGGAAATTTATTTTTGCATTGCAAATTTATTTTCCTATTTGGAATGCGGTTTCATTTTTGTATTAGAGTTTCATTTTTTCTATCTTGAGTTTTAGTTCTGCACTGAAGTTACATTTTTTTGTACGCAGTCCAGAGTCACCATGAGTGAGTTGGGTGGCCATATATATTGACTTTATAAATAAATAATAAAAAATGCATTTATAATGCCACTTAAATATTTATGCAAACGGAAAGGAGAAGCCCACCTTCCTTCTGATACATTTACTTGTGAGGGCAAACAAACCCACTTGTTGTCTTCACATGACATCCAAAACCACAGGAAGGTAGGAATCGAAGCATCCACACATTATGTCAAAGCTGGGGGTTCAGGATAACAGAATTTAGGGTGCAGAGGGGTTTTAGGGGAGAGCAGCTGTCTTATTTGGGGAAGGCTACCCCACCTCACCCACAAACAAGGCAGTGTGCGACTCAAGCAAGCATTTAAACCCAACCCGGGTTAAGGATGTTGTGGGAATGCAAAACTAAACTCCTGCATTTCTCATTTGCAACCTTTCTTCCTGGAATCTCTATTTTTCTGCATTTACTTTTCCTTTTTGCAATAGCAGAGCTCAACGTTAAGCTTGAATGAAACCCCTAAAATGGTACTTTTGTTCAACTGCGAGACCTGTGTGGAATGACTTCAAAGATGGGACAAATGCTGCCAAGGAATCGCGAATAAGCCAAATCAATTTAAATTTAAAGAGTCAGCCTTGTCCCAAGGACAGAGAAGGGACAAGTCAAGAGGCCACTTTCGATGGATATTCCCACCGTTGACTTGGTTTGGGGAAAAAACCCTTGATGAAAATTCAGCAAGAATCTTTGGGGGGGAAAAGGCTCTCTTCCCATTTCATAGACTGGGAAACTGAGTCCATATGGAAACCAGGAAAGGATTGGAGGAGATGCCCAAAGGAGACTCGGGAATTTCAAAGTATTCCCTCTCCACCCTCCTTTTCTCACCTCCCTTCATTTTTCCTTTCATTTTCCTTCTCCTCCTCTTTCCTTCCTTTTTCCTCCTTCCTCTTCCTCCTTTTTCCGTCCTTCCTTCTTTCTTTTCTTCCTTCCCCTTCCTCTCCTCCTCCCATTCTTCCTTAATTCTTCCCCCTTCCTTCTCTTCCCCACTCCTTCTTTTCCTTCCTGTCCTTCTATTCCTTTCTCTCTTCTTCTTTCTTCCTTTCCTCCCTTCCTCCTTCTTCTATTCCTCCTCCTCCCTCCTTCTCTTTTCCTTCCTATCCTTCTATTCCTTTCTCTCTTCTTCTTTCTTCCTTTCCCCCTTCCTCCTCCTATTCCTCCTCCTCCCTCCCTCTTTTCCTTCCTGTCCTATTCCTTTCTTCTTCTTTCCTTTCCCCCTTCCTCCTTCTTCTATTCCTCCTCCACCCTCCTTCTCTTTTCCTTCCTGTCCTATTCCTTTCTTTCTTCTTTCTTCCTTTCCTCCCTCTCTCCTTCTTCTATTCCTCCTCCTCCCTCCTTCTTTTCCTTCCTGTCCTTCTATTCCTTTCTCTCTTCTTCTTTCTTCCTCCCCCCTTCCTCCTTCTTCTATTCCTCCTCCTCCCTCCTTCTCTTTTCCTTCTTGTCCTTCTATTCCTTTTCCTCTTCTTCCTTCCTCTCTTCTTCCTCCTTTCCTCCCTCCTGCCTCCTCTTTTTTCTTTCTCCTCCTATTCCTGCTCCCTCCCTCCTATCCCCCAAATAGTAGGCAGTTTAAAGCAGATGGGCTTAAAACATCCCCCTCCCCA